TACTGCTATCCGTGTAAGTTGGTACCCATGACTGAGGTTGCACACTCTACGCAATGTGTGGGCAAGTGTGTATCGACGTCTGTGTGGGTGCCGCAACCCGTGACTGAGGTGGTATACACTTCACCATGTGCGACGCCGTGTGGATGGTCGCAGCATTGGTAGAGTGCACGTACGCCTGAGCTTGTGCTCGCACCCAGGCTTGTGAGGAAGCCTCCTAGTTGCGAGGAGATGGAGGAGCCAGCCGAAAGTGTGCAAGCTCTCCTTTAATTACTTCCTGCTATAAACACATCTGTATTTCTCCTAGTTCAGATATTCTGTACCAATTAATAAATAGATGATTGAGTGGGATTATGTGAGTCTAAACATATGGGTGAGGCAGCCATAATGAGTTGTTAGTGGCAATGTGGAGGGGGGAAATGGGTGCGGCGTTTGAAATTAGGTGAAGTCACCTCTATTTCCATGTAAACACTCTTACAAACAGTTATCTGTGAATTATTTGCAATAAGTACTATAAACGCATCTGTATTTCTCATAGATCAGCGAATTATTTGCCTTAAGTGCTGTCCTCTGACTCGTTTAACAGTTCACGTGGTTCTATATTTATAATTTCATAAATGAAATGTGACTCTTGTTTAGTCACTGCATTTTAATAATTATGAGAGTGAGCAGCATTTAATTTTCAACTACTTTCACTGCAGCATTCACATTTGCATCTCATTCTCTCACTGCCGATAAAGTGGAATCGCAAGTGAGACTGAATCATGCTAGTTTAATCTGGACTGCCATTTCAAGTGTGGTCTGGGCTGTGAGGTGAATGTAACCACACGACCTGTCCGAGATGCCGCAATATGCATGTGGTGTGGGAAGCAATACCACCTCGTGTCATGTCCTGAAGTGCATCATCATGCACGGCGCAGTCTGCGTACTAGACAGTGTTTGGTATGTTCTTGGGCGATTGTCTTCAAGGAAGAGAAAGTGATGGATATTAATGTGCCTTGTTTTCAGCTCGTGTCCGATTCGGCGCATTTGTTGTAAGTGCTTAGTAGTTTTGTGCACTTGGCATCTTGAATTGTGTCCTCGACAGTGTCTTAGGAAAAGCAAGTTGCATTAGTTGGGCACTTTGCGCACAGGCAGATGTGTTTGCAAAAATCATTTGATGCAAGCAGCTGGGAGAGGTGGTTTTGGAAAGCAGCCACTAACGCACATGGTAGTACTTATTGGCTAAGTGTTTTGAATGGCCTCAGGGGAAGGGGGTTTCCGTAGTAGGTGAAGTAGTAAAGCAAAAGTCTAGTAAGCTCAAGTAAGAGTGGGTTACAGCCAGCTCATAGTGGTTGAGGTATGGATCAGAGTAGTCAGCACACATGTGCCACACAGCTGAGATGGTCGTGAATGCACCATGTGCTGGCATGCAACACAGTTCTGTCCACCATCATGAATGCCGACTTACGGC